AATTGACAGCTATGCCCCAAGGTGCCCCCTTTTCCGTGAACCCACGGAAAAGGTCTGAGACGTCGTGAACAGCGGTAAGTGCACTTTAAGAGGCTGTGGCAGGCAAGAGAACACAGCCCAGCTTACTAGTTGATCAGGTGGAGATCATGGGACATTAGCTGTGGGAGGGGTTTTGTGGCCCCTCAGCTTGAATAAGCTCAGGGCAGGTGACGAGCACATCCTTCGTTAAGGGGGGAGCCACAGCTCCTCAGCTGGAGCAAGCTCAGGTGCATCAAGTAAGATTGGAAGGAACTAAAAGAGAAGTTGATGGACCACGGCTTGACTGTTTTGGGAGCTCCATCGGACTGTGATTTTGGGGCTGACTCTAGGATTCCAACCTTGGATCTGCTTCAGAGATGGGAACCTGGCCTAATGGTTTGACTTTGAACCATTACATTGGACCCGAACCTGCGTTTGATCATTGGACTCCTCTCTAACGTTGCCCTTGGGACTGTTGTCAATAACACTTTCTGCTTAGACTTTGTGGCTCGCTGTGTGCACTATTGGATCTTTTCAGGAAAGCCACACAGATAAAAACAAACCATATCCAGCAACTTCTAGCACTAACAGGGAGAGTGCTGAGAGTGCCCTGCAGCGGCTCTGGGCACTGGGGGCCACCCAGACACCAACCCACTGACCCCCAGCTCAGCTTTCTGGTCACCGGAGGCAGGAAGAGTGCACACATTCAAGGGTACATTACCACCTGGGGGAGGAGGGTGGGGTGGACGGGATGTGCTGAGAGAAAGCCACTTCTTAGTCTCTCTCAACAGCACCCTCCCCACTTTACGTAATTTCACATATACACACACAGTCTGGGAACAAAACCCCCACATAAGGGGGGGGGATGCCTGTAATTTTCAGCCAGTAAACTGTCAACTTATGACATTTCCAGTTTCCAAAAATAATGATCAAATCAGTCTGCCATGACATTCACCAAAGACACAGTTTAAAAAATACAAAATAAAAATCATGCCAGTTCTTTAGATAAACCTTGACAGGTCACCTACAAAGATGGAATGTGCCAAATCTTTATCCAGGCAACCCTCCCACCGAGAGGTTGGCAAGAAGCACAGGGCCTAGTTGACACGAGAGTAAGAAGAAGAGCTTGTCAGCCGTGAGGGAGATACCAAGGGCTAAATAGCATCTCTCTTCTTTCTGGGTTGCTCATCCCTAGTACTGTAGCTTTGTCTTAATTAACTAGATTTGATCTGTGTTGAAGTTATATGTAGGGGGATGTGTAGCATTGTCAAATTTACAGGCAGGCATTTCTCCCCATTAGGTTGTCCTGACTTGTTTGTAACTGGCTTCTATACTTATTCTTTCAAGCAGAAGGACACGCACTGAGCCCATGCTTTACTTATTCTGCAGCCAAAGAGAATGTACCGTATTTGTGTCATTTGTCTTCTCTTCCTTTAGCCTTTTCTTTTTGGGGTGGGGAAGCAGTTCTTGTAAGAATTGCACGTTTTTTATATGCCGCTGGAAAATTGACCTTTGATTCCTCCTCTCTTTTAAAAACAACAACAATATTTTTTTGCATTTGTTTGGTTTGCTCTCTTTCACCATCTGTATCAGCTAGCAATTGTACAAAGGGAAAATGTTGCAGGTGTGCCCCCCAGTTGAGTAAGGGGGGGGGACCAGGCACCTGATTAGAGTGGTTACTACCTATTCCTATTCTCAAAGGGAGAATAAGGGACTTGCGTGCCTTTCCAGGGGTCACCAACTAGAGGATGCTCCTTTTGTTACCAAGTCGCATGTGTTATGCTGACACACATGTCTACACATATAACCACAGTAACAACATATTCGGAGTTTTTATATTGAAATTTGTGGCTTGTCATAAGGAGGTTGCATTGTATACTTACTTACCTGAATTACCTGGAGGAATTAGCAAAAACCACCGAGTCCCAATCTGGATTCAAATGAAATAACATCCATTGTTTCAGGTGCCCAAATGGCATTAAATAATAAAATAGCTATGCTGTTTGTATTGTCAAGATGCAATTGTTAAGATACAGAGGAGTAAGACAGCATAACATTTGTATAGCAGCTGCCCAAATCCCTGCTGCCTGGACCCAGTGCTTTTTTGGTGGGGAGGAGGGGTACGCAGGGGTATGCATACCTCTAAACATTTTGTGAATCAAAGTTTGGCTTCATCGAGGGCAGTATTTCAATATTAGTAGGAAAACTGAGAGTACCTCTAAACATTTTTTAGGTGGGGGAAAGCACTGCTTGGACCAATAGCATTTGCTTAACTAGTTTCTATGACAGAGTCAGGGAGATCTTAGTGTTGCTGCATAAGCAGTAGAGGTTGGTGCTAGGGATCTGCTAGGCTGAAATGGGAGTCTAGGCACACCAGAGGAATGTGGGAATGCAAACGACACAAGTTTGTGCCAAGAGAAGACAGGAAGTCAGTGAGATTTAGGAAATGTAGGACACAGTGATTAATCCCTGCCTTGAAGAAGCTTGAAGCACCCCTCCTTGGATGTAAGTCACTATTGAAAACAATGGAGGGCTCACCCAGACTTACTCCACTGCTTTCCCCTGGCAAAACCTACTCTTTAGTGCTGACTTGGAGCAAACGACCATTGGTCCTAAAGAGTGGGGCTTCCCTGGGAAAGCAGTGAGAGAAAAATTGGATGGGATAGAGAACTTTTAAAAGCAGACAACTACTATCAGTGAGGACAGCCAGTGTAGAGCTAGACTCGTTTCCGCTGTTATGCTTACAAAGAGTTTGTGCCCACTGCAGTCACCTGTAGAGCGAAGTTAAGGGACTCCAGCTATATAGAAATCTTCTTGGCATGGCAGGTGAACCATGCAGGAACCTCATCAATACTTCCTTTGGAAATGGAAATTAAGGGACAAGTCACTAAACACCTTTGCACTGCATATTGATAAGCTGTAGAGGAGCGTAAGCTCACATAATACCCAACAAAGTAATATTTTGGTTGCCTATATAGTTGGGGGAAAGTTCTGTTTTCAAAAGGCCAGCTTCTGCTTTCACATACACCTATGTGCACATCCTTTCAAGGTTACAAAGGTACAGCAGAAGAGACTGTGCCCTCAATTTTTGCACTGGCTCCATGCCATCACCTTTTCTTTTGCTGTGCGTGCTATGTCTGACTCCCTTATTAATGGCATTTTACAGACACACTTCTATTTTTGACTCTTCGTTCAACTGGGGAACAACATGCAAACAGAAGGCAAGTTGTCTACAACAGAGACACCCAGCACAGCATATTGAGGGATCATGCAAATGGTATATGCTATATTGGTTTCTGCAAACTGTATTTCTCTGGCCACTGCCCTCTGAGCCTGTTGAAAAGGGCAAATTCAACAAGACATCTTGAGTTCCTCCCGTTCCCTGATGAATTAGAATTTGATGAATTAGAATAATGATTTCATCACATGTTGCTTTTACCCATTATGCTGTCATAAATGCAGAAAGCTATTAAGCACATTGATAATCAGAGGCATGACCTAAACAGCAGTCAATCATCTTTGGCAGGTTCCAAAACCTATGCATGCCATCTGATAAAAGGATATTTGCAACCATTAGTGCTCCATTAACACAGCGTATGTTTGAGCAATTTCACAATTTTTTTACGTGTGGGGCACCATGACCAACCCCGTACCAGTTTTACTCACAAGGTACAGTATCAGTGCACCTGCTCATGGCACCACAGAGCTCCTGAGTCCTCACTGCTGATGTGGGATAGAAAAATTCAATCACTTTTCACAGCATGGGGTGGGGAAAGTTGCATGCTAAAATTTCTTTGCTATATAAAATGTGACAGGTGCATTTTCCTTCTCCCATGCTAAGGGCTGTAGCCAACATGAATCCTACTCTAGAAAGACCCACTGAAATTAATGCATGTGGTGAATGGGTTTATTAATTTCAGTGGGACTACTCTTGAGTAGAACATAGTTGGCTATAACCCTAAACCTGGCAAGCTGGAGCCCAGAGCAGTGCCATTCGCTGTACCACCCAAGGGTGCATGTTGCCATCAGCCCATAACCGTGAATCTTACAAATCAAATCTGGAAAGCAATAAACTAACAGTGGAGAGGCCATCCAGCAATATACACAAGACAAGTGATATTGCTTCCTTCCATCAGAGGGAAAGTTTACTTAACTGTGCAAGATGAACTACCCACTTCAGAATGTCATTTAGTATTTATAGAAATTGAGGGATATGGCTATTTATTTCTTTGATGTTTATTTTCTTTCCCCATTCACTAAAATTAGTAATAAAAAGTATTTGAGATCCAGCTTTTTAATTTAAAAAAACAACAACTTTAGTAATGAGTTTTGTGAAGTTGGATGGTGTTTGGGCTGAGAAAAGAGATAGAACTTTCCCTGCTGAATGGACCAGGATGGTTGTTTGTTCTTACAGGGTGAGAGTGCTAAGAATCTCCCACTGAGGATGCAGATAAGATGTTTGCAGTGTATGCAAACAAAAAGCCCCTGTAAATAGGGTATGTCATCTGGGTATGTCATCTGAGGTTGGCCGGATGACATCGTGCAGTTACAGTTTACCTCATATACCAATTAACACAAGATAAAAATGTTTAAATGGTTATAACTGAAAAGCAAGTACTCTCAGATTTGTAAGCCAATTTTTTGAGGACTCAAGAAAATATATTGTACTTGGCTATATTGTACCTTGGTTATGTCGTGTAGCAAAGTACTGTTGACTTGGTTTAAAAGGGGGAAATGATATTGTTACAAGCCACCCCAATCTCTGCTAGGCGGTAGCAAGATTGCAGTGGTGTTGGCACTTAACTAGGATTTGTGATCTTTTGGAATGAGACACAGCGAAGACTAGTATCTTTAAGGAATATAGTTTATTTTACACATATTTACAACCTGAGTTTTGATGGAGGAAGTGCAAAACATTACTGCCCAAGAGTGTCTCTCCTGGCTCCTCTCATGGCTTCAGCACACTTGGGGCCAAAGCAGCAGCTAGTCATGTCCCCTGATATTTCAGTGCAGTATCTCCCAGCCAGTTCTGGCCCCTCCTTTCTCCTTCCCCAAACCCCTTGCTCAGAACCTCAGTTTAAAAGGACACCTTTTTTCCTGTCGTCCCCACCCTGCGTTACCCTGGTAACTTCTCCCTCCATGCTGGCATTGTCTTCTCCCTGGCTGATAGCTCCCATTATCAAACAAACCTTTGGTAGATTTGCAAAACTAAAAACGCACGCCAATTTATAAATTTTAGAATGGGGCAAGATTAGATGTGGAGGCACAAAGCATTTTAAAAATCAAGACTCCTTGTGCTCCGCTCCATTCTGCTCCCCCTTTCGTTCCACCCAGGGTGGCCCTGCCCTCTGCCTGCACCTTAGAGGTGGTGCAACACAGCGAGTTAGGCCTCAGCAGCTACAGCCTCTCGTCCTCCTCGTCTGCTCTCCAGCAGCTGCTACAAGCTGCCCAAGGGAGGAGGCTGGCAGCAACGGCCATGGAGAGGCAATGGGATGCTCCCTCACAGCTGCCACCGCTGCTGTCACTTGGGACAAGCACCAGCTCAACCTTCTCCCTGAGTTTGGCACTGACAAGGGAAACAGGGATGTTCTGGGATCAAATCAGAAGCCAGGATGGCTTTCAGAATTTGAAGACTGTCCCTGGACACTTGGAGGGCATGCAGTTCTCTCCCACGATGGTCCTTGTGGGGAATGAGATTTGGGAACAATGACCACCGAGAAGGAGGCCATATTTCTCAACACAAAAACTTGAGTAGGTAACAGGTGGGCAAAGTCTGGTAAAGGGGAGTTCTTGTTCCGCCTAATGCAGATGTCAGTTAATTAGAGGAGAAGGTTATATCATTAGCGGCCAAATCGATACAAAAAAGATTAAGAGCTTTGGACAGCAAGCTCCTGTGCTTTCCAGTACAGCACCTGGGGCTGTATTTAGCTAAAACTCAATATACATTAGCAACACAATCAATGTAGAGTTGCACTGGGATGTCTTCTTGAAATACTTTAATTGGACTCTTTCTAGAATTATCAATGCTAAACAAGACGTCAGCTTTAAGCAGAATCGCTCTCCATATATGATGGACAGCCCAGGGCCTAGGAAGCCACATTCTCTTTAATTATAGCTTTCCTTCTTTTCTGATGCATATTAATAGTGATTCCCCCCCCCCCCCGAAAAAATTAACTGGCCTTGAAAGATTTGACAAGTGTTATTGGCAAGAAAGTGGAGGCACTCAGAACTATTTCTGATGGCCAATTCTGCCACCTTCCTTGCCAAATTAATGGGTCAGCCCCCTCTTCCCAGACCTAAAATTCTTCTGAACAGATAAATCACCAGCAATCGGACCAAATGACCGCCAACCTTTTATCGTGGGTTTATGTTCCGAAAAGAACACAAATCAAACTGTGTTGAACCTGCTTGAAATCATCAGGTCAATAAGCAGAAAATGCCCAATCAATAACATCCATGATTGGCCGATATCTGACATTGCAATATTACATGAAACTGCACAAATGGCGCTAATAACACAATGCTTTCTCTAAAATGTTTTCCGTCATGTTTATTCAATACAGAAGTGCATAGCATAAGCTTATCTAATTCTGTCATCTGCACTGTTCTTTTTAACTTGTTCATAAATGAGATGGAGCTAGGGGTAAGCAGTGCGGTAGCCAAATTTGCTGATGATGCTAAGTTGTTCAGGGTCGTTTTTGTTATGCTATAACCTCTGGTCAAAAACTAGACTTGCCACTTAAATTTATTTATTTTTACTGTGCCTATATCACTAGCCTGATCCAGAGACATATAGCAGGTTAAGCTTCTCCAACTACATCTGCATGTTGGGCTGTTGTTAAAGGCAGAGGAGGATTTTAATGTTGTTGTTGCTCTAAACAACTCTCCCTAAAGTTAAGGTTTGGAGAGCATTCCTATTTTATACAATTACTTGGTCCAGTAAAGGATATTCAATATATTCTACAGAGCCATCATTCTATAGGACAGCCTCACTAGTTTACTATTTAAAAAGAAAAGAGAAAAGATGAAAATAACGGTGATGAAATCACTCTATTATAATGTTGTGAGAGTACAGAACAATGCGGACTTCTAAGGGCCATGACTTTGTGGTTTCCAGACATTTCAGCTTTTGGCTAAACAATTAAGTAAATTAGATCCTTTGACAGAACACCACCCCTCTTCCTGGCCATTATCATTTGGCAGTTTCCAGTAGGCCCTGTGGTAAAGGTGTGTCTTCTTCAGAGCAATTTTCAAGAAGGCAGGAGCTTTTTACAGACTTGCTCTGGAAGGATGTTCTTTGCTCACCTAAAAATGAGAGAAAGAGAGAGAGAGAGAGAGTTTAGAACGAGAAGAAAGTTAAGCAGACTGCATGCAGACCCCACCAAGCATCAGGGTGAGGCTAGCATCTCAAGGTAGCAAATGTTGGGGCATTTATTTATTTATTTGCTGTTGTTCAGAGTTTGCTGTCCCTGCGGGGAGGCTTCCTGGAGTGGTAATTCCGACCTTTGCATTTGACTTCTGAGTTGAGGTGAAGAGGTGATGTGGGGCCACAGACATTCAGAAAGGGAAATTACCTTGGCAACATGGAATACAATGCCAGGAAGGGGGAAAAACATAGCTACATGGGCATAGGGAATGTCACTAGCGAGACTATTCTACTTCACTGAACAATTCCACTTAGACAGTGATGTGTGTGTGTGCAGTTAAATTCTCTTGAATTAACCAATATATCACCAGTATAGGTCTGGGATCCCCATGAACCTTCAACCTGTGGGGCTGTCTTAGCATTCAAAAGGTTGCAAGCTGCAGCTAGTTTGGACAATGGAGCCCTGCTCTTCTCAACATTATATTATGGGAAATAGTTTACAAAAATGTGTATATCTGGAGAAATTCATACTAAAATGCTGGTGAATATTCATGAGGACCTGATGCAGAAATGTGGTGAACTGAACTTAAAAATAGGAAACTGAGAGAAACCAGTACTGGCAGATTCGCCTGTTCTCTTTCAAAGTTCCACTGAACTCAGCTTCATTAGGCTGGTGGTGTCCAGCATAACAAGGATGCTATGCAGCAGGCTGCTTGTACAGTGTTATTCAAGAAAAATATAATTGCGCAGCTAGCACATTACAGCATAGTCCGGAAATAAGCTGGCATTTACTTAGCACACAGAAGGGCTTTATTACAGTGTATGCTGGAAGATATTGCTCGATTAACCCTGTCTCCTTTGCTCTAACCTCTAAAATTACACTCTCAGAAATTGCAACACAAAAACCAGCAGCTCCAAATGCCCTCGTGACAGGCCTGGACGACCCAGCACAGGTTGCCTGTTACTGAATAACACTCTGGTCTGGTTTGCACATTAAAGCGTAGCTAAATTAAACTATGCTCTGTGCAGTGTACCCATGTTCACTGCTGAAGCTGTGAGTGCTTCCTCCCTCATCCCCAACAGTAGCGTAGGAAGGGGGGGCGCCCCCCCAGGCGCCACTCTGGAAGGGGTGACAAGATGGCCCCTGCCTCCCCCCAGCTGTAGAGCAGCCAAGGGCACCTGCAGTCCGTACTGGCACCGCTCGTATGGACTGCGCATGTGCGGCATCCCGTACAGTCACTGCACATGTGCAGTCCGTTTGGGATGCCCCACATGTGCAGTCTGTACAGGCTGCACCGCCCCGGGTGCTGGAGAGGGTTCCTCTGCCACTGATCCCCACCACTCCTGCTGCTGCTGCTGCTGCACTGCTGGAAAACAAGCCATGGTTTGGTTTAGCATTACCTCTGAGCCAAGGTTCATGGTTTGTTTCGCCCTACCCCAACAAACCACAAATGATAAACACAGTTTGTTCTTTTCTGCCTCTATACCCCACATTTCAGTCCGGCAGACTCATCAGGGCCTTACAGTGAAAACAAGATACTATAAATAAATTTTAAAGCAATGTTTTCTTTTTAAAAAATACAATAATTTCTTTATTTGTTTGCTTGTTTCTAAAGGACAGGTGTCTTTGCAGCGACTTACCAATTCCCCTGCTTAAACCAACCAGTCTAGCACAGTTTAACAGACAAAGAAGAGAAGCAGTGGCATTTCTCCGGCTGCTTTCATCGCATGTCATACATGCTGTATGTATACCCTGAACTTGACAAAGTGTTCCCCCCTGTACAGTAACTCATCTGACTCCAATGTAGTGCTCCCTGAAATGGAAGAGTTACACATTACCTTTCCAGTTTAATTAAATGTTCCCGGGATAAATCTCGTGTTTATACATGCTTGCAATGTGCTTCTACTACTCCTGACTGCTCCATTTATAAACTGACTGGATGCAGTCCAATCATCTCCAGTTAATGTACCTGTCACTCACTGAAAGCTCAGACTCCTGGGAGGTTTGCTGTCCGAGTCCTTTTATTTGCTACAGTTATTAACTGTTATGTCTCTGAAACTGAGTTATTTATATTCATTACACACCTTTTGAGCCATTATCTTTTACCCGAATGGAGGACTACAGAAGTCCAACATTGCAAGCGTCTACTTTGAAAATACTGAGAGTGCTAGTTACATAGAAACGGCAGTGTGTAGGATGTGGAAATCTCAAGGGTTGGTTCCAAGGCCGGCTGGAAACAAGAAACTGATCGACACGGAGCTATGATTCAAGGTCAACTGTATTTTTAATACCATTTCTTTAAAATATTTATATCCTGCGTCTTGAATCAAAACTGATTCACAAGGCAGATTTCAACATAAAACGTGTGTGTGTGTGTGTGTTTGTACTGTATATAAAACAGCAGTAAGGAACATAGCTCAATCAGTAGAGCACGAGACTCTTAATCTCAGGGTCATGGATTTGAGCCCCATGTTGGGCAAAAGATTCCTGCATTGCAGGGGGTTGGATTAGATGACCCTTGTGGTCCCTTCCAACTCTACAGTTTTACACTTCTATGATCAGCAGCATCAACATGCTAATAACCGAGGAAAACAGCATCAGCTTCTGCTTACAGCTGTGGGAAACAGCCTAGGTGGGGCATCTCTTTCTAGTTCATAGAGATGTGGGGCAGGAGATGGGATACTTAGCACCACTACAAACTTATAAAACTTTACTTCCCCTATAAAACCTCACTTCTAAGTGCTATGCTTTCTCCTAGGGTCCTGTGCATTCTAAGGACTCCTCCTGTCTAGGCTTCCAGCTTCACACAAAAGATGTTACATTGCGGAGGGTTAGGATCTCCTATGATCCTTCTGCGATCCTGTGACTCGGACTCTTGGTTCAGGAAATTCTGAAAGTTTTATTAAGGAAATTAGCACACTTCATTGTCTCAGAATACAGGCTACAAGGCTCAGAAGGTACACCAGCAGAAAGTTGGCTAGGTAAAGCACATGTGTTGCCTCCACACCTGACACACGTGCCCTGGCTCTACTTTTAAAGGGGTAGGACTGGTCTTTTGTGTGGTTCTTGTTCAAGGTAAGAAGACAGTGCTTCCAAGGAAGCACTTCAACAAGGAGACCGGATCTGTTCGTGCCTGTGCTGATGGTAGCATGTCATGTGGACTTGCATTCCAGTCCTTACAGTTAGGGCGATTGCAGGAAGGCCTTCAATTGCCTGTGAAAGCACCCATCTTCGCTGCTCACCTGAGCTCCAAAGCATAAGGAGCTCATGCCACAAAACGGGTGCCACAATGGAAACAGCCCTCCTCTGAACTCTGGCCAACCCAACTTCAACAGGATTCAGGACATTCAGGAGGGTGGAGGGAACCATCTCAGTTCCACTTGCCGGCTAAGGGCTTTGCATATTCTTGATTGCACAAGTGCTGAAGCCATTCCTGGTGAGCAGCAGTGAATCAGGGGGTCAGTGGCAGACACTGCTGAGGTGCTGAGGCCTCAGCAGATGTCTAACAAAGCTGATTCCTTGCAAACATAAATGAGACAGAAACATATCCACAGTCCACTCAGCAGCAACTTTCTAGTGAGGCGGATGCCTGACCACAATTCTGCCGCATGTTCCCGTAACTAGGCTGGGTATGAAGCAATAATAAGGAAGCCCATCGAAGCAGGGTGTGTGTGGTTTAGCAGAGAGCGCACAGACACAGCAGCAACTACCAATTAGAACAACTATTTCTGCAGAGTTTTACAGGGTTTGCTTGAGAAAAATGATACAGAAAGGCTGGATTCTTAACTTGGAGAAAGCCCAGCTCCTTGTATCTGTTCCAAGAACTGGGGCCACTAAAAAATAACAAAGGGCCTGGGTCAGATTTGTTTTAGGGAAAGTGAATTTTGGAATACAGCAGTGATACAGATTGCCCTATAGGGACTGGGAGAGTAGATCAAGGAGCAATGGGAGGAAGAGAATCATTTTGAAAGTGGATTGCAGTGCATGAGGTTGCATGGCTCTACCTGCCCCTCCCTGTTTCTCCTACCCTGTTTTTGAAAATATTGCAATAGTTCTACATTCTGGTCCTCAGATGGTTATCAGCAATTCTCTTATTTGCAACTGATGTAACTTCCCGCCTCTTCTGCATTTAAGCATCTTTGGCTCTAAGGGACTGTAATAATCACATTTTAACTACAATCATGAAAAAGAGTGCTTGTTATTCTTTAGAAAATTGCACTTCTCGCTGTAATTATGCATCAACAAAGCTTTTTAACTCCCATTGTCTGACCATACTAAAAGCTGTGTTGAAAATGAAGCCGTTCTTACGTGTCTTTTAATAATGAAAGCTAACAGCACACTTAGGGTTCTGGTTCTCTGCCCAAGTGCAAAGGAGGATGGCAGATTTTTAACTATTCTATCTAAAAGTAGATATGTACTGCATTCACTTAACTGTAACTGCAGTGATGGCTGCTAGGGTCAAAGATCAGAAATTCATCCCAAACATCAATTCTACATTTGAAATCCCGGTTATGTCTGGGAAAATCCGGACGTATGGCAGCCCTCATGGCTGCAGATATATATAGTCATGATCGTACCCCAACTTTCAGCACAGTCTGTGGCGGAGAGAAGTCCAGAATCAGAGGTAGAAGCTGAAGCAGGAGAGTGGAAGGAGGGAGGCCAAAAGGCTGGTGAAGAGTCATGGGTGTTTCCCCCTCATGCTGCAACAAGCTCCTCTCCCCATAGTCTCCCAGAATCAAGAGAGGCATGAAGAGAGCAGAGAAGTTAAGCAGGCAAAGTCTCAGATTGCTTGGGGAAAACCCTGAAGAGGAGGGGACTTAGGCAGCTGTGCGGAGACAGGGACCTTTAGTCTCCACAACTGCTTCAGGAAGAAGAGTTGCTGTGCTCATTAGGCCTGACGCTCCTGTGCAGATCCTGTTTTTGCTAATAAAGAGTTAA